TGAATAGAAGGAAGGGACAGACGTTCTGCACCTGCAGATGAGCCCACCAGCCTCAGAAGCCGAGCAGTGCAGCCACCAGAGCTGGGGACTGGCCACCAGCATTTGGGACTGGCCACCAGAGCCACTGGCCCAATCTGCACAAGAGGAGTCAGCCCTGGCTCGGACTCCTGGCTCAGCAACCTCCTATGCTGCAGAAGCCTGGCACAGCACCTTGGGGAAACAACACTGCTTGACTGCCCTTTTCCTCATTTATTGCTTGTTTTATTGCTTGCCTGTTGCTTTCGCTTTTAGGGGTGGCTTCCTACACTGCCACCCACCCAAGAAAAAGGTGGGGGGAGAATACAGGGAAGGGAAGCCAAATGATCGTGGGGATCGATAAAAATAAAGGTGGCAAAGGTCAAAAATTATGCTCAGGGAACCAGAGGGGGACATCAGACACCGCCCAAGAGCATCCATCACTCCTCAAAGGCATCAGAGGAGCCAGAGGATACTGCCCAGTGTCACAAGCAGTGGGAATAGGAATGAACCCCGGAGTTCCTGTCTTATTCCCTCCTTCCAGTGGTGTTAACGGCCACCTTGGCCAAGGCCAGGCAAAGGGCCTGTAATTTAGAGCCTTGGACAAGGGCTAGACTAATAAAAAGTTGGTGGGACCAGTAAAACCCAAATCTGACAGCAAGGGTCACGGAGACAGGACACTAGGCTGGATGGAGCTCTCAGCTCAGATCACACTGAGTCCCCCCGCTCATGACTCGTTCATTGTTCTGACTTCTCATCCTTTAAATGAATAAATAATTTAAGTTTTGAGATGTTTAGACTCTGAAACACCTGGACATCAGGCACTGGCTGAAATTTAACTTTATGGTAAATTGGGCATGAAGCTTACATGGAACTTGTCACTTGCAACCATGTCCACAGCCCGTCAGGAATTATCCGAGATCTTGGGCAGCTCTTTAACATCGAGCAGCAAGACTTGCTAGGTCTTCATCACTTTTACAAGTATACATGACAAGGACATACTTTCAAGAAAGTGAACAAGTTGCGTGTACACAGAGGAACACCACTTGCACCTTCTTGCTTTCACTCAGCATATCACCAGTCTGTCCTCTGCTATTCACCAACGCTGCTTCTGAATTTCCTATTCTAGTCAATTAAAAAAACAAACAAACAAACAAACACACATTTACCCATCTACAGTTGCAGCTGAGGATCTCAAGAGCACTTTGCAAAGATGAATGCTGACCTGTTCAGTGTTACACAGGTTAAACACCATTTTATAGGCACACAGTTCACCCTTGTTTACTTTACCCTTGTGATTCTGTAATTAAACAGGCTCTTTTGGCTACATAAAGCTACATCGTGAGCTCAGCTTTTGCACAGATCATTTAAGCAGACCTTCTGTGCTGTACTTGTGTCACCACGAAAGAGATATGGAAAGAAGAATCCTCTCCTTAGAGCCTTAGATAGCACCTATAAAAATACTCAGAACAATGCAGTGAATGGAAACTCTCTGAACCCTTGTGGGAGGGGGAAACGCAGCGGAACAGGGAGGGGAAGAAAAAGAAAAAAAAATAAAAACAAAACACACATGCCATCAAGGCCCCATGTTCCTGACAGCATTAATTCTTATTGACTTCTTATTAACTGAAAAGAGGCAAAGTTATGATTTACCTAAATGCCCCCCATCAGCAAGACAGAAGTGTCTGGCCTGTGCTCTCTCCTCATGTCCTTCAGTTAATCTCCAGGAAAAAAAAAAAAATTAAGAAAACCCTTTCAATTAATTAACTTTAATCCCTCATCAGCTATCCCCAAGCTCACTGGTTTCAGTCTCTTTCCTACAGAAGCTGTTGAAGGCTACTCCAGAACAAGCTACACTAATGGCCTTACAGCCTCTTCTAACAGCTCGTTTGCTCCCTGACATCAGCTCCACACAGAAATTCTTCTGAAGTATATCCAGTGGTACACATATCTGTTCCAGACCAGGGCACAGACAGCTTTAAAACTGCCTGTTGTTTGACAAAAAGGCACACCGTGAGCTTAAATTGCATCTCTTATTATCAGCAGTGAAATCCTACCTGCACACTGCTGCTGGCTCCTTAGCTTATTTGCTCTCAACGCCCCTCGCTGCCCTGGAAACGCTACGGGAGTTTCACTCACCCTGAGACTGTAACGTACATCAACACTCCCCCTCCCCGTGTCAGTCACTGAATTCAAACACATCTACCAGGGAATCGACTGGCATCCAGCTTGGTTTCATGTTCTCAGTGCTGTTCCACTCCCTGCCTTGGTAACTATTATCCCTTTAGCTATTGCTGGCCTCAAATTTGCTTTTTCCATCCATAGATGCCTGACTTTAAAGTCTTTCAAAAGAGATTCTCATGAGTCTAAACGATCAATCAAATAGATGTCTTCCAAGTTAGAAAAATTATAACAGAAGGGAATGTCAGTAGATTGGGGGAGAATTTCCCTTTGCAAACTGTGTTAGTTTAGATCCGCGTATTTAATAATTTCTATGACTTTATCAAGCACGGGGGAAAAGGTTACTCCAATTCCACCAGAGCTATTTGTAAACACGTCAAAGGACCAGCAGATGTTTCAGGTAGGATTAACGAACAAAAATACGCAGTTGTGTTTAGAGAAAAGGTAACTGGCACTTTAAAAAAAAAAAAAAAAGGTCAAGGAGGAATTATGAATCATAAGATTTGTCAATAGAAGAGTCTCTACCAACCCACTGCACACCAGAAACCGGGAGTTAACACCCATCTCACCCTAGTGAGGTAACGAGCCTCAGTCATTCAAGGAGAAAGGTCCCACTTCCAGTCCCAGTGACTGCATTCCTCCTGCCATCCCTTTACCTCAACAAATCTATTTGCACCCAGCTCTGCTTTGCAGCACAGCAGGTCACTCTTAACGCTCCTCTTTCCAGCGCAGCTCCTCCAGTAAGGGTGCTGGATACAATTCTGTGCATAGGCTCTATTTTAAGTCTCATACACTGGATTAAAATAGTATGGAATTAAAAGTAGTAATTATCAAACATCTGCACTTTCTCTAAAGCTGCAACTCTGTTTAACCAACGCACGAGCTATAAACTCACTGAATAGAGCTATTCCAGATTAGCTATAAAACTAAATTAGGGTGAATTCCCAGGGTAGTAAAGGATCCAAAACCTCAAGGTTATATACATTAAAGTTCCACAGCAGCAGAATTTGAGTGATTTCCAGTTAAGGCAGCACGACAGTAGAAAACAACAACAGGCATTCATCGCCACGTTGGATGGCTGTCTCAATATGGCACTGTCCTAACAGAATAATTCTCAGTCCTCTTTTGTCCATCACGTTTCCTTTAGTGTCCAGCAAAGCCGAGAGATGCCAGTAAAACCAAACACAGCAAGTCCTTTAACAGAACTCTCATGGCCAGAGAGGTGCTCACTCTGGACTAGCCTTCCTGTCCACCTAGGATGAGTAGACTGGTTTTGCCAGAGAGGTGCTCACTCTGGACTAGCCTTCCTGTCCACCCAGGATGAGTAGACTAAAATTAGTAGGATGAGTAGACGCTAAAATTTTTTGTGAGCCTAGCTAATTCTCTGCATGAGAAAGGTAATTTAGAAATCAAATAGTAACAGTAGATATAACTTCAAGGCAGGGATGAAGTCCCACTAAAGTGTATTTCCAGCTCAAACACTTCTGCTAACGCGGATTCCTTTGCAAGATCATTTTCTGGATCTTACAGCTGCGGAAGGAAGATATTCATGCTGCTGAGAAAACACAAATTACTTTTCTATTACATCTTTCAACTAACTTTATAAGACCAATGGAAGCCCCACGAAGAAGCTGCACATTAACATCTGCCATTACATATGTCAGCACAGAAATGCTGAGTTTTCACAAAGCTTGAAAATTTATTGTGAGGTAAATATTTACATTGGTATTTTAAATCATCAGTTTGTGCACGGGATTTCTAATCCCTGCCCGCTGTGCTCCCCCCTGCCACCTTGCATAAACTTTTAATCTCCAATGCAGAGGCCTATTATTAGAGCTGGCTGAAAAAAAAAAAAAAACTACCCAAAGACTGAAGGCTTTATTATGGAAAAGGTTAGGGCAAAGCTTTTTTAAAACAAAAACTAATAAACCTTTGTCTGCTTCTCCTAAGACAAAAAACACCTCCTTGATGTTTTAAAAACTGTTTCTCCGTAAAGAAAAAACAATTAGTGACTCAACATAAAATTATGCCCATTTTAAACAAAAAGTTTCAATTCTGCAGGAAGAAACAAGTCCTACTGAACACTTAATGTGGCCTTAGCACTCCAAGACAGACCAAAGGGTACCTAAAAGACCACACAAATTGTAAAGCAAGCTGGGCTTTCACCTTCATTTAAACACAAACCTGCTTACAAAGCAATCCAGGAAAAAACAAAACATAACAAACCAGCCTTTAGTTGGGACGGAAAGTACCTGTGTAGCCAGCAGGACTGAGGATGTGCATTAGCACAGAAGTGCAGCTGACACAGCCTCTCCCACCTCCTCTGCTTCCCCAACAGTGTGGGGGAAAAATGCAGGAAACAAGTAACTCAAGCACCAAGAATACCTTTCACACAACCCCCATCTCAAAAAAACAAAGGACAAAGGGGGAAAAAAAAAAAAAAGGAAAGAGGGGGGAGGGCAGCAAAGAGCTCCCAGACTAGTTCAATACAGATAACCCAGACATGCCCTGAGTCATAACTCTGAGAGCTGGAACAAGGACAGGGTGATGCAGGCTCAAACCCCAGGCGGGGCGAGTGAGCGATCGATGGCCCTCACCAGCAAACACCCATCCACTCCTGGGCAGGGCAGGCAGGCTGGGAAATGGCCCTTTGACCACTTCTCATTCTTTACTACACGTAGGCACGTCACACACTTTCCTGCAAATCTCTCAGCCTGAAAGATTTCACAAGGTTTGAAGGGGTGAGAGTAGTGAGTAACAACCAGCTGGTACACACCACCCAGCGACCCGCGACCACAGGGACCGGGGTGCTGCGTAACCCGGCGGCTGGGAGTTGATAGGCTGGAAAAAGTTCTACTTTCCTGCTGCACAAAGTAGCACGAAACTTCTTGCCAGCGAAGGAGAAGCCTCACTGCGTAGGAGCAGACTAGAGGTGGGTGTCGAAAAACGTGGCAGAGCCAAGGCGAGGGGGCTGCTCCCAGCGAAGAGAGGCTGCTCTGCCGACCGAAACCCACCGGAGCCAGGGGGAGGACGGGAGAAGCCCGGGGAAGGAGGGGGTTGGGGGGCCGAAAGGAGGAGCCGGCCCACCCCAGGGCCGAGCCCGGCTCGGTGCCGCTGCCCGGGCCCACGGCCGAGGAGCGGCCCCGGCTGCGCGGGGAGGAGCCTCTCCCCACCGCCCCGCCGCCACCACTACCACAAACTTCTCCAGGAACCGGGCTCCTCCGCCGCTTCCCCCCC